ATTTCAATAAATTTCAGTGCAGAATTTAACTGGTAAAGCGATTTCAACAAGTTTAAATGCAGATTTTGGCTGATAAAGTTATTTCAGTAAATTTCAGTGCAGAATTTGGCTGGTAAAGCAATTTCAATAAATTTCAGTTGCAGATTTTGGCCGGTAAAGCCATTTCAATAAATTTAAATGCAGATTTTGGCTGGTACCAATGCACAGCTCAGCTTTGTGGTGCTGGGAGCTCATCCTTGCCCCGCTGGACAAACACAGCGCCCGTGCAGCAATGAAGGCATGGCAATGAAATGATCTCTTACCTAACCAGATGGAGTTGTGCAGCACTCCATCCTTGAAGCCCCAGGCTGCAGCCTGGTCCCAGAGCAGGGCAGAGAAGAGGAGCAGTGCAATCATCTCTGGGGCTGGGAATGTTCCCTGCTCTCACACTCCAGGCTGGCTCTGCAGCTGGCTCGATCCTCCTGCAACATCTGGCAGCCAGATCTTAAATAGAGAGCTCAGCTGTGAGGTCAGCAGGGCTGCTCCAATTGTGCTGCTGCTCTTCTTACCCAACTGCTGGGGTGGCTGCAGTGGCCCATGTGACTCACAGCTGGCTCTGCTCCTTCCCAGCCTGGCCAAGAATCCATCCCATCCCATCCCATCCCATCCCTGGCTGCTGCACACACACACACACACACACACACTGCCCAAGCCGAGCTCTGCTCATTCCTCACTGCCTTCAGAATCCACACAACAAAACCAGGAGCCAGCCTGTGTGCTCAGAGTGCTTCCAGTCACACCACTGACAGCATCCGAGAGGTCCCACACACTCCTCTCATCCTCATTTAAACATCTCTCCTTCCCACATACTCCCCCTTATCCTCATTTAAATATTCCTCTAAAAGATCCCACACACTCCCCCTCATCCTCGTTTAAACATTCTCTCCTCCAAAAATCCCACACACTCCTCTCATCCTCATTTAAACATTCTCTCCTTCCCACATACTCCCCCTCATCCTCATTTAAATATTCCTCTAAAAGATCCCACACAATCCCCCTCATCCTCGTTTAAACATTTCTCCTTCCCACACACTCCCACTCATCCTCGTTTAAACATTCACTCCCAAAAATCCCACACACTCCTCTCATCCTCATTTAAACATTCTCTCCATAAAAGATCCCACATACTCCCCCTCATCCTCACTTAAACACTCTCTCCTTCCCACACACTCCCCCTCATCCTCATTTAAATATTCTCTACCTAGAAGATCCCACACACTCCCCCTCATCCTCGTTTAAACATTCTCTCCTCCAAAAATCCCACACACTCCTCTCATCCTCTTTTAAACATTCTCCAAGAGATTCCACACACTCCTCATTTAAACATTCTCTCCTTTTATAGAGAGGATAAGGTTTATATAGAAGCGTTTATATATAAACCTTTTATGGGTTTATTTTCATAGTGGATTCACTTTCACAGTGGGTTTATTTTCACAGTGACCTGATCAATGAATGGAAAGAAGTCAGGAGAGAATATTCTGCACTGATTGTTTGAATTCAGTTTCCCTACAGGGATCTGTAATTGCAACTCAAGCTCCTGCATCAGCACAAAGCTGCAAGTGTCAGAAGCAGCTGCTCTTTGTTGTGGAAGTGGGAAAGCTCCAAATTCCCCTGCAAAGCAGAGTTCGGGGTCTGATTCACGGTGTGACAGCTCTGTCTGCCCGTCTTCCCTTCTGGCTGCCACTGACTCCTGCAGCTGCTGCTCGTGGATGAGTTGGAGAGGAGAAGGGAGAGATGAGGGCATGGAAAAAAAAAAAAAAATGGTTTGGGGCTCCACACTCAGCAGCAGCCCTTGGGAAACTCTGCCCTGCAGCTCTGATAACAAATAAATTAAACAGTGAGTCAGGAGCTGCGGACATGAGGAGGGAAGGGTGGAGGGGGCACGGATATTTCAGCACGGATATTTCACCACCAGGGAGGTTCTTCACCCTCCAGCCCTCAGCTGGTGAATGCTGCACTGCCAGCGTTGCTGTTTTATTTTTATCTGTGTTTGTTTTCTGCTCTACAGAAATCCCGGGATTATTCAGGCTGGAAAAGCTCTCCCAGCCCATGGAGTCCAAGCTGTGCCCAATTGTCCCCAGAGCTCTGAGTGGCACCTCCAGGAATTCCTGGGACACTCCAGGGATGGGGATCCAAACCCCCC